ATTACCGATACATGCAATGACAGTGGATGAATCTCAAAGGCATTATGCTAAGTGAAATAAGAGAGATTTAAAAGGCTACAAATTGTATGATTCCATTTATGTTATAGTCTGGAAATGGTAAAAGAATAGGGGAAGAAAGCATATCAGTGGTTGCCAGGAACTGGGGTTGAGGTGAGGTGTTCACTACAAAGGAGAATGAGGGAATGTTTTAGTGTAATGGAAATGTTATATGTCCTGATTATGGTGGTAGTTACACAACTGTACACATTTGTCTGAACTCATTAAGAAGGATGCATTTTATTGTATATGAATTATATCTCAAAAAATGACTAAAAAAAGCAGAACTCCGAGTGCCTGAGCAGCTCAGTTGATTGTCTGACTCTTGATTTTAGCTCAGGTCATGATCTCAGGGTCGTGAGATGGAGCCCTGAGTTGGGCTCTGCGCTGGGGTTGGAGCCTGCTTAAGATTCTCTCCTTTCCCTCTGCCTCTCCCCTTTCCTTCTCCCTTTGCCCCCCCCCCACCTTCCCTCTTCCTCTGCCCCTCCCCGCTCTGAAAATTTTTAAAAAATAAAAATGTTAAAAACCAGGGGCGCCTGGGTGGCTCAGTAGGTTGAGCCTCTGCCTTCAGCTCGGGTCATGATCTCGGGGTCCTGGGATCGAGCCCCGCGTCGGACTCTCTGCTCGGCGGGAAGTCAGCTTCCCCCTCTCTCTCTCTGCCTGCCTCTCTGCCTACTTGTGATCTCTCTCTCTCTCTCTGTCAAATAAATAAATAAAATCTTTAAAAAAAAAAATCTTAAAAACCAGAACTCTACTCGGAACTGCTACAGAACAATATATATTGAATACTTTGTTAAAATCTTGCATGTAAATATAACAATCATCTTATTTCTTTGAGGTATTTTTTTCTTACAGCTCTGGTTGGTATTTTCTACTATTTCTCCATTTTGTGAAGTTGACTTACATTCTGGAACATAAAAATAGAGAAAGTTCACTGTTAAAATGGATGCATCTGGGGGTGCCTGGGTTAAAGTTGTTAAAGTGCGTTAAAGCCTCTGCCTTCCGCTCAGGTCATGATCCCAGGGTCCTGGGATAGAGCCCCACATCAGGCTCTCTGCTCAGCGGGGATCCTGCTTCCCTTCCTCTCTCTGCCTGCGTCTCTGCCTACTTGTGGTCTGTCAAATAAATAAATAAAATCTTAAAAAAATGGATGCATCTGATCAAATAAAATGATAAGAGCTTTAAAATGTTATGTATTGAGAATTCTAGGAATTTTTCTTTCATTGCTGGTAGGGAAGAAAATTCTTATTTGCGGAATAATGCCAAGGAAAAGCCTCCATTTTTAAAAAAAGATTTTTATTTATGTATTTGAGAGAGAGATTGAGAGAACTAGTGGGAGGAGGGGCAGAGGGAGAAGCAGACTCCCCACTGAGCAGGGAGCCAGACAGGGGACTTCATCCCAGGACGCTAGGATCATGACCTGAGCCTAAGGTAGACGCTTAATTGACTGAGCCACCCAGGCACCGAAAAGTCTTCATTTTCTACTCTCAATCCCTCTTTTCTGTTTTTTAAGTAAGTTGCTCACTTTATAGTGAAAGGTTATCATGATCCTTTACAGGACAAAAAGCATCTCATCAGGCGTGCCTGGGTGGCTCAGTGGGTTAAAGCCTCTGCCTTTGGCTCAGGTCATGATCCCAGAGTCCTGGGATCGAGCCCTCCATCGGGCTCTCTGCTCAGCAGGGAGCCTGCTTCCCTTCCTCTCTCTCTGCCTGTCTCTCTGCCTACTTGTGATCTCTGTCAAATAAATAAATAAAATTTAAATTAAAAAAAAAAAAGGCATCTCATCATTTGGTTAGCCAAACAATTTATTCCAAAATAAGTAAAGGAACCTTCTTGTAAAGTTTGTTTAATATCAATTTGCATCTTAATACTTCTTTAATTATGGTATAAAGTGATAATCTTTCTCTTACCCCTTATCATCCCTACTCTCTCCCAATATAGCCTTGTAAATCTTCCCAGGCAAAATTTGAAAGAAAACAAATAAAATTGGCGCAACCTCTATGGAGAATAACTTTGCAATATCTACCAAAATTAAAAATACCTTTTGATCTAAATCTTCCAGTCTAAGGATTTATTGGTATAGTTTCCCTTTGTGTGGTGTAATTAGTTATCAGTTGCTGCTTAGTTTGTGATAATATTGGCTTGGCAACAATCTAAATGCCCACCCACAGGTGATTGATTAAATATGATATTTGCATACAATGGAAAATTATACTGCCACTAGGAAGAATGAAGCAGTTTTTTATGCAGTGATATGCGATGATGTATAGAAGCAGAAAAATGTTCACCTTTAGCCCAGATAGGTGACCTATAGCCTCCACAGTTTAGATAAGGATCAAACATGGGCTGATTGTTACATTCTTAAAGGGTCTCATGACTGCCTGTAAAGCTCACTGATAGTTAGTATCAGGCTGAACCATAAGCACCAGATAAATCTTCCAAAACTAGTTTTACCAGTAGAATTTCGAGGAAGAGGGGCGCCTGGGTGGCTCAGTGGGTTAAAGCCTCTGCCTTCGGCTCAGGTCATGATCCCAGGGTCCTGGGATCCAGCCCCACATCGGGCTCTCTGCTCTGCAGGGAGCCTGCTTCCTCCTCTCTCTCTCTCTCTGCCTGCCTCTCTGCCTACTTGTGATCTCTGTCTGTCAAATAAATAAATAAAATCTTAAAAAAAAAAAAGAATTTCGAGGAAGACATTTATAATCTAATACTTGGGGCACATCCCTTCCCCCTCGAGCTCTAAGCAGATAACCACTGGCTTCATTCAGCAAAAGTACAGCTCCTTCTCTTTTTTTTTTTTTTTTAAGATTTTATTTATTTGTCAGAGAGAGAGTACACACAAGCAGGCAGAGAGGCAGGCAGAGAGAGAGGAGGAAGCAGGCTCCCTGCCGAGCAAGGAGCCTGATGCGGGACTCGATCCCAGAACCCCAGGATCATGACCTGAGCCGAAGGCAGCGGCTTAGCCAACTGAGCCACCCAGGCGTCCCAGTACAGCTCCTTCTGCCCACAGCTCCTGTTCTGGTGCTATAATGTAAGCATCTTTTTTTTTTTTTTTAAGATTTTATTTATTTATTTGACAGAAAGAGATCACATGTAGGCAGAGAGGCAGACAGAGAGAGAGGAGGAAGCAGGCTCCCGGCTGAGCAGAGAGCCCGATGTGGGGCTCGATCCCAGGACCCTGGGATCATGACCCGAGCGGAAGGCAGAGGCTCTAACCCACTGGGCCACCCAGGCGCTCCTGTAAGCACCTTTTTGCACCAAAAATGTCTCAAGAATTCTGGACTGTTTGCTTGTGGCCCCACATCAATAGTGAAGAATATCCAGGCTATTTTAAGAGAAAAAAGGAAGGAACTTAACAGTATATATAGTACATTATCTTTCCTGTAAAAAGAAGTATAACTATTATCATGTTTATTTGTAACATCTCTTGGGAGGGATACATTAGGAAATGCTAAATGATTGCCTCCAGGACTATGGTGGTTGAAGGGCAAGGTTGGGAGCGGGAATTATTTTTCATTCTATTTCATCATAGTCCTTTTTGGATTTTGAATTACTACACTTGTTCATTTTATAGACACATATAGATAAAATATATACAGATATATGCGGTGAAGCTTAAAAAATAATAGGTGGTCAATTCAGAATTTAAAAAAAAATTATACTTCTATGGATGCTGGTGAATTACCATTTGTTAGGGCTGATAAAAACATTTTCATACGCACATTCCTTGTAATAGTTTATCACAAAGCTCCTCAAAAACCTTGAACCTTATCAAAAGCAATCCTTAAAATGCTTTTTTCTTAAAGTTAGTAGAAAGTAAACAAAACAACGCAGCTTCCTGAGGCTTCTTCACAGAGGAAAAAAAACAGGTAAGAGGCAGGAGATTATAAAGTGTTTTTCAAATGATGAGCCGGAGGTAGTTTCTCTGAACAGTTACCAGACTGGGTTCTGTGAGACCCTTAGAAAATCCTGCCTGGTCTGTAACCATTATTTTACTCTCAATTAAATTACAGCTTGCCCTGAGTGGCAGGATGTTAAGAGATGAAGGAAAGTGTTGCAAATGATATTCTGAACAACAGTATTAGTGGCAGAAAACGTTTCGATGACGAACAAAAAAGGGTTGGCGAGGCTTCATGGGAGAAGTTCAAGGGAGGTTCCTAGCATCCTCCCGCGTGAGTCCTCGGAGACTTCCTTTCTCTGTCGACCTGTTGAGGGCTGCTGGACTCGGGGCATCGACGTCAGCACCGGGAAGCCGGTCTAGGGGGCTCAGGGTTCGGTTAGACCCGGGCCAGGGGCGGACAGCCTGAGCCCCGTCACCGGAGCCCCAGAACCGGTAGATCCGGCTAGGCCCGTCCCCGCCCTTCCGAACCTCGGTAGCGGCTACGTGCACAGGAGGGTGTGATCTGCAGGCCGGGTCCTGCCCGACCGCCCTGCGCCCCGCGGCCACGGGGCCCAGGAACTCGGGCCTAGGCCACCCGGGCCGGTGCTTCCGCCTGTCCTGGGCCGTCCGACCCGACAGCCGCGCAAATCACCGCCCCGTGTCGCCTCCCGTCACTGCAGGCCCCGCGGCCCCGCAGCCCCCAGCTTTTCTGGCGGGGAGGGGCGCGGCGTCGCCACGTGACGCCTCGCCCCCGCCCGGCCCTGGTCACATGGGTGGCACGGCCGCTGCGTCAGTCACAGTCCTGGCTGCGGGAGTTGAGTCGCCGTCGCCGCCTCCAGCGGACGGGGCGGGGATCCCGGTGCCAGGTCCTCGTCGGCCCGCCCCTGCCGCCTCAGTCGGCCGTCCCGGGCTGGGCCCGACCGTCATGGAGCGGGGCGGGACCTCCGCCTGTTCCGTGTGAGGCGCGTCGCTGCCGCCCCCGCCTGCTCCTTTCCAGACCTCCCGAACCTTCGCCGCCGCCCGGAGCCCCTCGCCCTTGGCAGCCTGTCGCCGCCCCCCGGGCGGGCTCGAATGCGCGTCCGGTGAAGGTGCAGGCCGGGTGCCGCCGCTGCCGCAGCTGGGAGATGGTTCGGGCCTAGCGGAGCAGGGATTGGAGGTGAGGGGCCGACGGAACTGACTGAGGGCCGGGCCTGGTTTGGCCGCCGGGTGGGGGTGGGGAGACGGAGAACCGGGTCCGCCTGGGGGCTCGGGGAGATCTTCCAGGCCCGGGCAGCTCGACCCGGCTTCGCCTCTCTTTTTTTCCGTTTCACCGCCCCTCCTTCCCCCGCCCTCGGACAAAAAAAAAATACAAGGCTAACCCATCCTAACAAAAATTCCCAGAAATCCCTCTCTTCGCCGTTTCGCCTCTAAGCTTTCGTTTCTTAATCCATTCCTTCCTTCAGAAATTCCAGCGACTGATTTGTTACTTTTTAATACCCTCTTCAATGGGAAGTTATTTCTAGTTAAAGAGAAAATAGGCCCAGTTTCTAGCTATCATTACCCAACTAGTTCTCGCTTTCCTTCTCGCGATCCTGCGCACGTCTCCCCCCCCCCCCCCCTTCCCTGCAAAAAAAAAAAAAAAAAAAAAAAAAAGGAAAAAAAATTTTCCACCTTCGTCTAGGGAAGGGGATTGACTAGAAATGGGAATGTGGGGGGTGTAATACTTGAATACCCCCCATAACTTCGCAATCTGTCTGTTAGCTCGTTATCCCGATAGCCTGTATTTGGATATTGATGTTTAGGCCTTTTCCTCCAGCTGCCTGTGCCCGGGGTTAATCTCGTAATTGACGTCAGTGCTTTGTTCCTTCCACTTTGCTGTTCCTTCCACTCTTTGAGGATGGATCATGGGGTATAGGACTTTGAGGAGTATCTTTATTGCTTTTTCTCTCACAATGGATATCATTTATAGGAAGTTGAAAGTACAAATCTGAAATGCTCGTGTATGGAGTTCAAGTGAGACGGAGAGTTCGATTTAGGGTTCTCGCAGTCAGTTGCAATTCAGAATTGTACCATGTCTTTCCTGATGGCCTTATGGAAATTTTAACCTAAGGCCAACCCCTTTTCCAGTGACCGGTATTTGTCTGGACGGCATCTAAGCTCTAAGTGTCTGTGAATAAGATGTTTGTAGATGTGACGTCTAAAATACGTGTTGATTTTTAGGACTCAGGTGTTAAAAGCTCAGAGCTTTGTTTCCATATTGATTCTGCAAAGCTTTGTAAAGTGCTTTTTTTTATTTAACTGTACTTCGACTTATCAAAATCGAAATATTTATGAGAATTTTCTTAATTTGGCATTTGATAAAGAGCCTTTGTGGCCTGCGAATGTGCTTGGAATCCTCTTTGGTGCTATGTGCATAAAGAAGTGTTGGCAGGTAGCCACTTGGTTTTTAACAAAGCTGACTTCTTTAAATTTCTCAGGTGTATTTTTCTTATTCATCACTGCATCCTTAATTCTCTAAATATTAAAAAAACCCCTCAAGTTATTTTTACTTATCTTTTAGAGTCACTTTACCTGGATGCAATATATATACATATTTTTTTTTAATATCAGCAGTTTCATTCAGTTTGTGGTGGCTTGCATGCTGATAACTTTGGCTTTTTTGTTAGCTATGCAGGAACCGTAGGCAAATTCTACTTTAAGTAAAATTTTGAGTCAAGTGGGGACAAGATAGCAGGTCTGTGAATGAACCAACCTTTACTGCCTGGGTTAAAAAAAAAAAAAAAAGAGCTTAACTGTGTTAATTGGAAAGTGCTCAACAGTTTTGGGGTGTAAAGATGATTGTACAGTGCTTTGGTGAAGCTCTGTTATTAAGAATTACTAAAGATAGAATATTTTCATTCGATTCACTTTCTGCTTGTCAGATGACATAGATTATCTGTGTTCTTGAGTTATTGTATGGCTTTTGTAACAGTTGGTATGTTCTCCTTTTGTATTGTAATTTTCTCATAGGTTTTTTGTAGTGTGCTTAGAACAAGAACTATATTTATATTTCTCCTGTCCTCCCCAGTATTTTACACAACTATTAGATTGAATTTGAATATGATACCCAACCTAAGATTTCACAAAAGTGTAAAGAAAACTGTATGAACAAGTGATCAGTATTTGAAGGGGAAAATGTGTCTGTCAGATGCAGAAGATGACAGAAGATGAAGCCTTTTAAAAGTTCTTTATCTTACCTTTTTTGAAGAGTTAAGGTAAATATCATGGCTTTATGTGTACCTGAGAGGAACAAAGAAAACAGGTATTTCTTCTTTTGTGGGCATCTACTGGTTTGGAATGAAGTCCAAAATGTATAAGGCCTTCTCTTCAAAGGATTTTTCATAAAACCAAAGAGGTGTTCTTACAGGTATTGAAGACACACCTGAACAATGATCCAGAAGTGCCATGTGTATTATAAAAGTTGAAGTTTTATTTTTTATTTTAGCTCTATGCTCCAGGTAGCTTACTATTAAAACTTTCCTTGTGTCAAATATACTAAAAAAAAAAAAAATTTTTTTTAACCTTCCTATATAATATACAGGTTTCCCAGCTTTTGAACTCCCAGTCCTCATGATATTTACTCATTTTCTTTTTCATTTCCTCTGATAAGTTGGAATGATTATGCTTGATTTCTGGGAGGGTGTGTGCCAGTCTCCGTTATTGTGAAATAAGGTGTAGTCAGTGATTAAAGACTGCTTAAAGGCCAACCTCACTTTGCTGCTTTTTCCTTTGCTTTAAGAAAAGCACCTCTACTTGTAGTAAGTTTTTATATTCATCTTGATTGTTTGAAGTGATACTCTAGTACATGAGGAGGATGTAATAAACATGACAGTTACTGAGTTTTGGCTGATCATCTGCATTCCTGTTTGTCCTGATGTTCGTTTTCACTGGCATCACATCTGAAGAATTTTAATGGTATTGGCATACAAAAAATATTAGAACCACTGAATTCATTTCCAAAATATTTCAGAAGCATTTTAACATTGAGACTATTTATTGTTTTCTTTTATAGATTTTATTTATTTATTTGACAGAGAGAGAGAGATCACAAGTAGACAGGCAGGCAGAGAGAAAGGGGGAAGCAGACTCCCCGCGGAGCAGGGAGCCCAGTCTGGGGCTGGATCCCAGGACACTGAGATCATGACCTGAGCTGAAGGCAGAGACTTAACCCACTGAGCCACCCAGGTGCCCCATTATTTATGTTTTTGAAGGAAAAAAATTAAAGTCTGTCTTCTTCATGTGGCTGAAATTCGAAAGTCGAGGGTTGGTGAGGATGTGGAGAAGGATGAACCCTTGTGTGCTGTTGGTGGGAATGCCAGCTGGTACAGCCAATTAAAAGTAGAACTGTCGGGGCGCCTGGGTGGCTCAGTGGGTTAAAGCCACTGCCTTCAGCTCAGGTCATGATCCCAGGGTCCTGGGATCATGCCCCACATCGGGCTCTCTGCTCAGCGGGGAGCCTGCTTCCCTTCCTCTCTCTGCCTGCCTCTCTGCCTACTTGTGATCTCTGTCAAATAAATAAATAAAATCTTTAAAAAAATAATAAAATAAAAGTAGAACTATCCTACAATCCAGTAATCACACTACTAGGTATTTACCCAAAGAATATGAAAACACTCATTCAAAGAGATATATATACCCTTTTGTTTATTGCAGCATCATTTGCAATAGCCAAACTATGGAAGCAGCCCAAGTATCCATTGATATTCACACACACACACAAACACACACAGGAGTATTACTTGGTCATAAAAAGGAATGAAATCTTGTCATTTGCAACATGGGTGGAGCTAGAGAGGATAATGCTAAGCGAAATAAGTCAGAAAAAGACAAACACCATCTGATTTCACTCGTCTGGAAATTAAGAAACAAAACAAATGAACAAAGGAAAGAAAAACAAAACAAAACCAAAATACAGACTTTTAACTCCGGAGAATAAGTAGATGGTTACCAGAGGTGGGTTTCAGGAATGGGTAAAATAGGTGAAGGGGTTTAGGAATGCGCTTGTCTTTTTAAAACATTTTTATTTTAATTCCAGTATAGTTAACACATAGTGCACTTGCACAGTGCACTCTGCAAGAGATATGCACTTGTCTTGATGAACACCTGAGTAATGTATAGAACTGTTTGATCACTTACTGTATACCTGAAACTAATATAACATTGTGTATTAATTGCAGTAGAATTAAAAAAAGAAAAAGAACTAGTTGATACAATAAAAAAATAAAAATGAAATCTACCTGCTTCATCGGTTATACTTTATTTAAAAATCTGAGGAATGTTCTGAGGGAAGGCATTTCATGTAACTTTATCTGTGTTGGAGTGCCAAATAGATCATGGTGATGGCTTTTAGGCCAGTAGACAAAGCTTATTATTGGATATCATTTTAAACTAATTTTTTCAATTATTTCCTAGGATGGGTTAAAGAACCTTATGCAGGGCGCCTGGGTGGCTCAGTTGTTAAGTGTCTGCCTTTGGCTCCAGTCATGATCCCAGTGTTCTGGGATCAAGCCCTGCATCCAGCTCCCTGCTCTGAGGGAAGCCTGCTTCTCCCCCTCCCACTTCTCCTGCCTGATCTCCCCTCTCAATGTCTCTCTCTGTCAAATAAATAAATAAAATCTTAAAAAAATAAAGAAATTGTGCATTGTTTTCCCAAAGTTATGTGTGTGTGGCAGGAGAAATCAGGGATTGACATGAATAGAGTGCCCTGGAAAGCCACTATGGTTTCGCTACCAGTTACTGTCATGATCTATCCTGGGACTGTGTTCCCTGTGGCTACTTAAGGGCTGAATGGCTGTAATAATTTTCTTAAGTTAGAGATGCCTAGTGGGTTATGATTTTTCACTTTGACTTTCCCGTTTCTTGTCATCTTATGGTAGCACCAGTTTTATGGAGTGGTGAGTGCTCTGTATTGACAGGCCTTCCCACCTCTTTGCAGTTGCTTCCATTTCTTCAATCTGGAATATCACTTTTCCTTTCTTGTTCCCTACCTGTTAAAATGTCGCTGTTTTTTAAGGCCCAGTGCAGATACTGTTGCCTTCCTAAAGTTTTGCTTGACTCCTCTTGCTACCCCATTTGGCACCTACCCTCTTTGAATCTCTGCATCACTTTTGTCATCTCTCTTGCTTGTTTTGTTAACTA